TTTATATAAAGCAAATTGTATTCTACTTTTTTTTTGTTTTAAAGAATGTATTGAATATCTAAAAAAGTAAGAAGATTAATTTACATGCGTGGAGTGGGAAATTTTATTGTTCCTATCATGTAGTGGGAGGAGAATATTAAGAGACCACTACCTAGGTAGATTTGAGAAAAGTTAATATGGACTAGATTCTTGTTGTGACATTCAACAGATGCTCTAGTGGTAAATTTCGTGTGGGTATGTACTTGAATAGCTCAGAAGGAAACAACCTAGTAATTATTTGCCACTCATTTTAGACTTTAATATCAAAGGTTAACTCTATGTTTGATTCTGTCTTAGGTTCCAAAACCCACCTAAATGATCTACCTTTCCCATCAAGCTTTCTTGTCAAGATGTGGTATGTAAAATATTAGTAGATATTCTTTTCTTCTTTTAAGAATAAAGAAATTGCAATAGATAGTTTATTACAACATTTATGAACAAGATGCCCCATGCATGCCTTAATTTGTGCAAATGCTTTGCTTGTGATCTTTCCCCAACCCTTTTTAAAAGATCAAATTGGGAGGGAAAGGAAAGGGACAATGCCATGAAGACAAATGAAGGGTTAAAAATAAAAGCTTTTTGATAATTGGGTGGGGGAAATCTAAGATTATGGTGTTGAGGTTGTGGGTTTCCTGTTTATATGCCATCTTTTGAGGGAATGAGGTGATGTAGCCAAAGGGAAAGGGAACAGGACAATTGTGTTGGTTACTCCTAGTATTTTTATTTAGCCCTTTAATCTTGGACATTTTTGTAATATTAAAGCTCTTGGTTCTTTTCTTTTGCATGGCCAATTCTTCCTTTCTTTCTTTTATGGTATGATTTGGCATTTTAGGTGGATTGGGGTCCTCATCTTGGCTTTTGACATCCATCCGATATTCTGATGTCTTAAAATATTATTTATAAGATTTGAAATCACAACTTATAGGAAGTGATCCCTATTTAATTAAAGGTCTTATTAATTAAATCAAAATATGGGAAAAAAATCTTTTTTAATTTAAATTAAAAAAAATATTCAAATAATTACCGTTTTAAAATAAATAAAAATATAAAAACAAACACGTTTTTAGTAATAAAAACATTTCTCCATACAGAGTTTCAAAAAATCACCGTGTTAATCTCTAACATTACTTTCGGCACCAAAAAGAACTTTGGCATATAGAATTATATATATAATGCTCTTATAAAAAAAATTTTACAATGCTTTAGTAATGAATGGAATTAAACTATTAAAAGTAAAGTGATATTGCCATGACATAGACGCATAGCTTACCTGTACTTGTGCTATTTCCAAAAAAAAAAAAAAAACATTAGGATTTTATAATGCAAAATGAAAATCCATTTGTCGACAAACAAGAAGACAACATCTTGCACGTGCCATGAGTTTGAGATTTGCATTTTCATTTATCTAATTAATTGTTTTTACAGAGTTGCCTAGGTGGCAGCTTTAGCTTTTAAAATTTTCATTATGAATTTTTTATTTCTTCAAAAAAATTA